AGGGGATCCTTTCTCTCACACCATTGCTCATAAGCACAGAGCTGTCATGCTTTCCAAGAGACCAGAAATGGTGTCAGATGTGATGTCAGCGGATGTGATGTCAGCGGCTCAGCTTCAATGCATTTCAGGTGCAGTGCATCCTCAACTCACTGGACCCCAGTCAGTGAAACAAACAGGGAAAACAGCATCTGGAATGCATCTGGAAATGCATCAAAAATGCACCAGAATGCATCAAAAATGTGTTAAAAACGTACATGCAGAAATGCATCCGGAATGAATCTGGAATGCGTTTTTACGGTGTGAACCGGCCCTTAATCACTTCCCCCAGGATGAACTGTCAATTTATTCAGATTAAGTTTTTATAGTCTTTTTGAACACAGATTTATGTCGTCCACAAGGGTACATTCAATATAATGTTAGTAACATTAATTTTCTTTTTGTTCGGAAAACTTGGGAGAAGAAAATATTTAATACAGTTTCCTTCTCTCTGTCACTTGTGACTAACTTGCCCCAATATGTTCTGACCAAGCCTTTTTACTATCAACATATGTGAAATAATTTTTGGGACGTTTTTTTACTTTCCTCTTTTAACATATAAAAGCAAGCTAAATATTGTACAGACTACATATACAGTATAAAACATTTTTGGAAAGCCATATTTTTACCCAGGAAAGATGTCAGCCAGCTTTAATCCTAAATCAACTTAACACAGTTTAGTTTCACAGAGAAAAACAATTACCAGTATTTTAGCAAATTTAGTAGGGATGACAATTAGCTTTCATTTAAAAAAATCAACATTAAAGTATTTTGGTTTGACAGAGAAAAGGTAGAAATACACTGCTCAAAAAAATTAAAGGAACACTTTTTAATCAGACTATAGCAATAAGTCAATTAAACTCCTGGGATATTGATCTGGTCAGTTAAGTAGCAGAGGGGGTTGTTAATCAGTTTCAGCTACTTTGGTGTTAATGAAATTAACAACAGGTGAACTAGATGGGCAACAATGAGAGGACCAGCAAAACAGGAACAGTTTTACATGTGGAGGCCACTGCCATTTTTTCCTACTCATATTTTCTGACTGTTTTTCACTAGTTCTGCATTTGGCTAGGGTCCGTGTCACTACTGGTAGCATGACATGATACCTGGACGCTACAAAGGTTGCACAGACATTCCAACTCCTCCAGGATGGCATATCAATACGTGATGTTGACAGAAGGTTTACTGTGTCTCCCAGCACAGTATCAAGAGCATGGAGGAGATTCCATGAGACAAGCAGTTACTCTAGGAGAGCTGGACAGGGCCATAGAAGGTCCTTAACCCATCAGCAGGACCGGTATCTGCTCCTTTGTGCAAGGAGGAACATGATGGGCACTGCTAGAGCCCTACAAAATGATCTCCAGCAGGTCTAGGTGTGAATTTCTCTGACCAAACAATCAGAAACAGACTTCATGAGGGTTGCCTGAGGGCCCGACGTCCTCTAGTGAGCCCTGTGCTCACTGCCTGGCACCATAGAGCTCGATTGACATTTGCCATTGAACACTGGAATAGACAGGTCCACCACTGGCACCCTGTGCTTTTCACAGATGAGAGCAGGTTCACTCTGAGCACATGTGACAGATGTGAAAGGGTCTGGAGAAGCCATGGAGAATGTTATGCTGCCTGTAACATTGCTCAGTATGACCGTTTTGGTGGTGCGCCAGTGATGGTCTGGAGAGGCATATCCATGGAAGGACACACAGACCTCTACAGGCTAGATTGGAGGGGGGATGGGCAACCTGTAGATTGTGGTCTACCTGTCGACCACGGACAGGTCCCTCTACCCCCTCCCAGTCTCCTCCGCTGCTGACATTCTCAGTGCACAGGACTGAGGAGGGAGGAGGAGCTGGGCAAAAGAAGATTTTATATTAACAAGCTGGTAATTGGTTACTAGGACTGACCTAGCAACCAATCACCTGTGGGTTAATATGAAAAGTTAATTTGTCCAGCTCCTCCTCCCACCCTCCGTCCTGAGCTGTGCTGTCTTCCGCTTTCACCAGGAGCGAAGTAGGCTGGGGGAAAGGTGGGCGTAAGACATTACTGGCTGCTGGCCCCCCTTTCCCACCCAGCAATGTCCTCTGTCCCCCTTTCCCTCATAGCAGTAACCTCTAGACCCCCTTCCCCCCCAGCAGTGTCCTCTGCCCCCTTCCCTCCCATGGAGAGGTATTTTAAAAATCTGAACTCCCAGCAAGTGGCTATTGATTGGGATTTTTCTGCCCCCACTGTGGTGTCCTAAGGCAGCTGCCTAAGCAGCCTTATGCTGGCGCCCAGCATACGGCTGCTTAGGCAGCCGCCTTAGGTCACCTGGGTAGAAGGGGGGCAGAAAAATCCCAATCCCCAGCCACTTGCTGGGAGTTCAGATTTTTAAAATACCTCCCTTTCGACTATCCCCTTTATTGTCCTCCTGGAGCAGCTGAAAGCAAGAATCTCCTTTTCGCCCTCCCACCAGCGTACAGCTGCTGCAGGAGGAAAATCCAGGGGATCGGTTCTAGTAAACGCCTCCCCTGCTGTCCCTCCCATCCTTGTTCCTCCTTTTTTTGCAGCCTGACCCTTCCCCCAAGTGCTCCCCTTTCAACAGGGCTCCTAAAGAAACTGTGAAAAATATGAAAAAATAAAAATGTAAAGATAAAAACTACTGGCACCATTCACTGTCCTACTGACACCAACCTCTGCCCTACTGACACTGTCTACTGCTCTACTAACACCATCCACTGCTCTACTGACTAACTACAACCTCTGCCCTACTGACACCGTCCACTGCTCTGCTGACTGACATCATTCCCTGCTCTACTGACACCGTCCACTACCCTACTGACTGACACTGTCCACTTTTAAGTAGGATACGTTTGTATTTTTACAATGACATTTGTTTTGTTATATTTTTCTACATTTTCCTTGCTATATAGTTAGGCCTTGCTAGTTAATTTTTTTTTTTTATATGGCGCTGAACCCTGGTGATCTTTGATCTCTTTCATGTTGTTCAGGTAGATCTCCATCTCTCATAGATTGCTTATGTCAGGGCTAGACAATGCACCCTGACTGCTTTAAGGTATCGGGATGAAATCCTTGGACCCATTGTCAGACTCTACACTGGTGCAGTGGGTCCTGGGTTCCTCCTGGTGCACAACAATGCCCGGTCTCATGTGGCAAGAGTATGTAGGCAGTTCCTGGAGGATGAAGGAATTGATACCATTGAATGGCCCCCATACTCCCCTGACCTAAATCCAATAGAACACCTCTTGGATATCATTTTCAGTCCATCCGACACCTGCCATGTTACACCTCAGACTGTCCAGGAGCTCAGTGATGCCCTGGTACAGATTTGGGAGGAAATACCCCAGGACACCATCCGTCGTCTCATTAGGAGCATGCCCCAACATTGTCAAGCATGCATATAAGCATGTGGGGGCCATACGAACTACTGAGTACCATTTTGGGTTGCTGCAATGAAATTTCAGCAAAATGGACTAGCCTGAGGCATCATTTTTCACTTTGGTTTTTGGAGTGAATTCAGTCCTCTGTAGGTTGATAATTTTCATTTGTACCAAACAGTGGGGCATCCTTACATTCCTAACACATTACCCAATCCATATAGATATCCAGCATGATATTTTTTCCCATTGAGACCTGATGTGTTTTCAAAGTGTTCCTTTACATACTGTTCATTGAATTAATACAATATACACTGCTCAAAAAAAGTAATCACTTTTTCTAGTTAAACAGGTAGACCAAGAAGGTTTTAGGGTTGGTTAACACCACCTGCAGTCCAGTGTGTTTTTTTTATGCATCAGAAATGCATGGATAGAAGGTTATATGGTTTCCAATGGCATAGTTCACACCAATACAGTCAGTTAAAGTGTGTTCCAGAAAAAAAAAAATAGAACATGCTGCATTTTTTCTGCACTGAACTGTACTAGAACATGGTAAAATGTCTGAGAACATACCTAAACACACCACAAATACACCAGAATACACGTCCTTAAAGAGGGTGAGGAAAAAGGAGGAGAAAAATGCACTAGAACACATAAAATATGCACCATAACGCATCAAACATGCATTGAAGACATGCAGAAAAGCATCCAGACTGCATTTCTATGGTGTGAACTGGCCTTTATTCAAGAAGTAACAATTAGAGTGCACTATTTCAGAGAGACAATAGCCACAAACATTTCTGATGGCTGGTTCACAGGAGTAGTCTGCAGACTAAGAGACACAAATCACGATTTGCCCCACAACAAAGAAAATAAATTTTGAGGTCCAGCTTTGGAAACATTATGTGTGGCCTGATCACCCAACACTACTAGAGACTCCATGTGCATCTTCTGCAACATCTGAGGCCTCAAGTAATAGGAACTGAAGCCTGAGAAGGGGTTTGAGAAGCCTATCTTATGGCACATGGCAGTGTAGATGGCAAGTATTGGGCCACACAAAGTAGGACAAGCTGTAATAGTTGGTGTTTATAAACAGGGATAAGTTCTGATTTTTTTTTTAACAAAATTTGTTCCTGAGTAACTCTTCAGTTTTTCCTTAACCGCCTCCTGTCTGCCATATAAGGTAATGACAGACGGAAGGCGGTTCTCTCATTCTGGGAGGACGTCATATGACATCCTCCCACTCTAACCGTGCGTGCGCGTCTCTGGGAGCACGCAGCACGGCAATCGGTGGTGCGCTGTGTCCCTCGGACACAGCAGATCACCGATCAACAAAAAGAGCCAAAGATGTCGGCTCGGTCATGTGATCAGCTGTGTCCAATCACAGCTGATCGCATGTAAAAAGGGAAATGCCAGTTATTGGCATTTCTGTCCTCACGAGCTGTCACGCTGACAGCTCGTGAGGAGAGGAGAGCCGGTAATCAGCATTCCTCAGAGGGGACATCTACACTGATCTTTAGGGCACTGATGATCATGTAGCCCCAGCAGTGCCACCTGTCAGTGTCCATCAATGCCAGCTGTCAGTGCTCATCAATGCCACCTGCCAGTGCACATCAGTACCTCATCAATGCCACATATCAGTGCCTACCAGTGCACATCAATGCCACATATCAGTGCCCATCTGAGCTGCCTTTCAGTTTCATCCATCAGTGCCACCTATCAATGCCAGTCAGTGCCACCTATCAGTGCTGCCAATCAGTGCCACCTATCAGTGCCCCATATCAGTGCCCCATATCAGTGCCAGTCAGTGCCGCTTATCAGTGCTCGTCAGTGCTGCCTATCAGTGCCACCTAACAGTGCCAGTCAGTTCTGCCTATCAGTGCCGCCTATCAGTGCCATATATGAGTGCTGCCTTTCAGTGCCCATCAGTGATGCCTGTTGATGCCCATCAGTGCCACCTACAAGTGCCTTCTCATCAGTGCCCATCAGTGCAGCCTATCAGTGCCCATCACTGCAGCCTCATTAGCGCACATCAATGAAAGAGAAAAATCACTTATTTACCAAATTTTATAACAAAAAGTAAGAAAAATATTTTTTTTCAAAATGTTCAGTTGTTTTTGGTTTATTTAGCAAAAAAATAAAAAACCCAGATGTGAATAAATACCACCAAAAGAAAGCTCTGTCTCAAAAAAATGATACAAATTTCATATGGGTACAGTGTTGCATGACAGCGCAATTGTCATTAAAAGTGCGACAGCTCTGAAAGCTGAAAATTGGCCTGGGCAGGAAAGGGGTATAAGTGTTCTGTAGGCTAGTAATTAAACAGTCATAATGTGCATATACTGCATGTTCAAGATTTAAAATCATTATATTCATTTCCACATTGTGTTTAAATTATTTCTTGCCTACTCTTATTAATCTGAATGATTATGAAGTTTATAAACTTACTTGATGAAAATCCCCATGTATTTACTTCCCTGAATTCTGTGAAATTGTAAATAACTTTGCAATGTGTTATACCATCTTTTTATTTACACAGAAAGGAAAGCATTTCAGGATCTGAGCAGTTTTAATTCTGAAAATATGTTTTTGGTATACTGATTTACCCATGGGTATATGCCTATAAATACATAATAAAAGAGTTCAGCTAATTAATCTGGGAGAGCTTTTTTCTGTACTTGACACAAATTTACAAATACATATCTGTAAATTTATTAAAAATAAATCGCTCTTGATGTATCTTATCTGTAGCCTTTTTTTTTTTTTTCTCAATCCCTTCTAACATTCTGCTTAAACTTTGTGATTTGTAATAGTACTGTTTGGACTTTGAAGAAGGGGACATACCCCGAAAGCTTGTCCTCAAAATTGTATGTTAGTGCAAATAAAAAAAGTATCACGGACAGTACTCAATTGTTTCTGTTGAAAAAAAAATAAAATGACTTTGAGCGAAAATGGCCTGGTAACATTTATTTCCCTTCTAATTGCACAGAACACATGTACATGCAGTTTCATAGGATAAATAGTTCTGCAATTATTTTTCCAAATACACCTTATGGTGCCTAATAATATTGATATGTGCAGATACTCTGTATAATGGCATTTGGCAGACCTCTCGTGGGTATTGTTAACTGAGCTGAGGCCTGTTCTGTTGACTGTGAAGAAAGGCCAGGCAGTGCAAAAGTCTTTGACACTATTACAATATGAATTTAACATAAGAAAGAAGTGAGGAACACATTGTATGTGTTTTTCTAACATATATTTGTTCTCATTGTGGTACACAATATATCCCTGCTCAGTGTTTTGTACTGCAAAAAATCTTTAAGCAGTGTTTAAATAGTGATACCTCTGAAAGAACTTTAAATATTGCAATTTAATTTTACAGTCAGCTAAGGTAAGAGAAAGAACACTGTATTAAGTTTAGCAAGCACACAGTAGTCACCTTACATTACTACCCTTAAAGTTACTAAAGTGAAAGTAAAGTCACTATTAAAAAGTGCTGACAGGTGGACTTTTGAGACTGTGTATGGCTCCTCTAGTATAGATGTTTCTCCTTGCCTGTCAGTAATTCTTTTTATGTATGCAGGTGCTGGGATGAAGTAACCTCTTCGTATATGTGCATATGTAATAGTTATATCACCTGGGCCTGGCCAGTCAAGTGGTCAGAGACTTCAAACCCAGAAAAGCGGCTGGATAGCATGGAAGTACTGGGAATGAAGAGCCGCACTGGTATAATAGAATTGAAAATATTTTCTTTGGTACCGTAGGTAAGTCTGTCATAATGTGCTAATATGCTGTGCTTACTAGAACAATATGGCTAAAGGCTCCTGAGAGCCCACATTTTTTTGGTCAGCAGTTTACTTTCTCTTTAAGTACAATGTTATTGGATTTGTTAGCAAAGAGAAACAGAATTGGAAATGACATCTATGCCAGTTAGTCCTAAAGCTGAGCTCCAGCCATATTCTTAAAATGATGTCTGTTGGGAATTATGCCTATTGGAAAGATTTTTTCTCATGTCCTGTCCCTGTTACACCTATACAAGAAATGTACAAAAATGTATTGTCATACAAAACAAAACCACACACAGTCAACCCATTCTTCATTTCTGCCTATGTTGCCATTGGTAAGCTTTTCTATAACTTCCTAACTGAGGCACAGATTACCGGTAATTTAAAAACAGAGACTTTACAAGAGGGGGCATGCCAATGCTAGATATGGCATACTAATTTAAAATAACTGTAGATGTATAGAGAAAAAAAGGTTTGCAGGGCGATATACAGCATCTACATACTGTATATGTTTCAGCAACAAACTCAGTTGCTGTTTAGCTGCTGAAATCCCCTTGTTTTTTTCATATGGGGGTCATTTTTTATGTCACGTTTTCAATTTCCTGTCTTTTTTTTTTCAGATAGGTTTTAGAACGTTAGACATTGGGGTTTGTCTTTAGTAAAAGTGTTTAAAGACTGTCCACATATAGTATACATTGTCATGATGATTTTATTGTTAAAAGCTGGCTGGTGTATATCCTGTTGAAAAAATCATCCCAAAGAATGTACATGTGATCATTACAAAATGGTTGGGGATTTGTACAATGAAAAAAATACACTAACATTTTTTTTTTTAAACTGGCTGGTGTGGGTCAAGTTGACAAAGCAGTCTAATAAAAGTATGCAAAGTCTGTTAATGGTCTCACTACAATATTCAGGATTCTTTTTTCAGTTGAATAAATATAGGAAAACAGTCTTCAATATGAAGGGGTACGTTTCCAGAAGGGACCACCTGGAAAAGCACCTTGTCCCTATGTTGATGAGGATAAGGGCCTCTTTATCGCAATCTTGGTTCCACAATGTAAATCCGCTCTCAATCATGTAAATGAGTGATGCAGATCCACGTCAATCATGGTGCTTGATGCCTGCCAACCCATTGAATGAAAAAATCATGTCTGAATCTATTACTTGACTTCCACTGAATGTCATCCTCCTGCCCCCCACCACTGCAATATAAGCAAAGTGGCATGGTGTGAGGGTGATATCATATATGGTCAATGAAGTTACTGAGATTCCCAAGGCCAGTGGAAAATTAACAGTATAATAATAATAATAATGTCTTCATTTAAACTAACTGGTGTGGGTTATGTAACAAAACTGGCCTAGTAAAATTGTGAGTATTTTTTAAGCAAAAATAAACACACTGTTATGTTGAGTTTTTAAAAATAAAAGCTGGCTTGTGTGGATCCTGTTTAAAAAGCAGCCTAGTCAATGTGTGTAGGCTGTAACCCACTACAATTTGTAGGGGCTTTTTTTCATATAAATACACTATAATGGCAGTTTTATTTTAGTTTTTATTAAAAGCTGGTTGGTGTGGGTCGTGTTGAAAAAGTGTCATCAACATTTTTTTTTAAATAACTGAGCATGTACTAACTACAATATTTTAGTTTTTCTTCAATGAAAAAAATACACTGTAATGCTGATTCTTGATTTAAATATTAAAGTTATTGGTCTTGTTGAAAAAACAGATTAGTCAAAATGTTTAAGCCACTCGCTGCCAGGTCAGGTCGTACGGACCTGACAGCGGGGGGTTTTACACACAACAGGCTGAAGCTATCAGGATTGTGTATAAAATTGACAGGCAGGTGCCAGTGGGCATGTCTGCTCTCCTCCCCTTGTTTCTGTGACCTGAAAAGCAATGTGTATAACATCACTTCTGGGTCACCCCTTGTCATGTTACCCAGCTAGAATACCCAGGGAGGAATGTATTGCAATGCAATCTGCATTTTTTTAATACATTCAGAGGAGTCCAGAGGACACATGCAGGGTCTTTTAGACCCTTTAAAAAGAACCTGACACCTAAAAATCATCACATAGGGAACTTTGTGTCCCGTGTGATGAAAAAAAAATGTTCTTTATTGCAAAAAAAAAAAAGTGACACCCAAGCACATAACATCCGCCCAAAAAAATGTTAAGGCCCCCCCCCCCACCCCCACATACACGCATGAACAAACATAAATGCATTCGTCGGGGGCACCTACGCCTGAAAATGTCGATTGCGATATACATGTTGCATATCGCACGCTGGAGTAAGAGCAAAAATTCTATTACAAGACCTCCTCCGTAACACTAAACTGATGACTTGTAGGGGCTTTTGAAGCGTCACCTATAGAAAATATAGGGTACTGAAGACTATCTCCAATTCATGGGTGCACACAAATTTAAGTTTTGACATTTTTGGGAAATTTATTGCATTTGTTAGTCCTAAAATTCATTTTTGTGTGCTTTTAACTAAAATGTTGCATTTCTTAGACCTTTGCGGTAATATCCTGTGACATAAAAAAAATTGAACCACTGTTCTATTCTCTAGGGTGTCTGCTTTCAGAAAAGACATAATGTTTGGGGGTTGTGTGTAATCTTTAGGCCTAAAATGATTTTTTTAAAACGTGTGCAAAAAATGCAAAAACAACTCAAGCAAAGAGTTAAAGACTATGCAAGTACTCACTACAATATTTTGGAGGCTTATTGCAGTGAAATAAATACATGACATTGCTGGTTTTTTTTTGCTTTTTTTTTTATTAATAAAAGCTTGCTAATGTGGGTCCTGTTGAGAAAGTGGCCTACTAAAAGTGTGCAAAGATTGTAGTCATTGCATTATTATAGGGGCTTTTGACTGAAATAAATACTTTGTAATTCTGAAGTTTCATTTATAGCTGATTGGTGTGGGTCTGGCTAGCAAAGTAGCCTAGTCAAGGTGTTTAATGACTGCATGTATTCACTGTAAAATAATTTTTTTTTTGAAGTGACATAATTGCACTGTCATTTTGAATTTTTATAAAAGTTGCTCTATTTTATGGTTAAGGAAAATAAATACATTTTAATGTTATGTTTTCATTTAAAATAGCTGGTGTGGATTGAAAAAGTAGCCTAGTCAAAGTGTATATTTTTCACATACTGATTACAATACTTTGGGTAATTTTTTAATTGAAATAAATACATTTAATGTATGTTGATTTGTTTAAATATAAGCTAGTCAGGGTGGGTTCTGTTTA